CCCCAAAACCCCAAAACCCCAAAACCCCAGAACCTACTGAAAGTATATTAAAATTGTTAAGAGATAAATTCAATTCATGACATTCATTACTATTTCTTTTGATTTATTTCTGAAATCATAGGCATTCCAGTTTTAGCCATTAATATACCCGAAGTCTTTAGTATTTTTTTCTTCATTAACACTGAATCATATTGTTTAACTTCATCTTCATACCTAGATGTCTTAGCTTACTATGATGATATTCTCTCAATATAAGTGCTTTTGTTAAGCAGCCTATGCAATCTTGGGCTGAAGGGTTTAGAATTCATTTAGTTTTCATTTAAGTGTTGAATTTACGAGATGTCAATCTAAGGAATCTTTACTCTTTCTGATCCTTTTGAGCCATTATTCAATTTACCTGCAAGTGGAGGTAATTATTGACTAGCTCTCTAAGTTTGATACCCCCAATTCTTATCCTACATTATAGACTAGTTTATTAAATCTACTTTATCTTAGAATTCATTGTTTTTGGCAGGCGATAGCATTCTTGACTCAGTTGGTGTATCGTAGGTTTCATCAAGTTAAGATAAGTTATTGTTATTAGTGTAGAAGGTCTTGTTAAACGAACTAACACTGAGCTATCTTTTGAATTTTGACATCATCCCAGATTACTTGCCCTATTATACTTTTTATAGAGCAGGCAATATTCTGGAAGAACTTTTAGAAACATTTCTCTCAGTTTGATAGCCGGTGATCAATGCCGATTATGTTTTATTTCTGAAATTGAAAGTTGAATTAGTATTATTCTAAATTGAAGGATCTTCTAGAAATATTGATTGATCATCTTTGTTGACCACTAGTAAGTCAGTGATTTCATTTTGATTTAGAGTTTAGTGGATCTTGTAGTTTTGTACCTTTGGGTTGCTCAGATGATTATGAAGACTGTGAAGAAATCCAGATGTATTGTTGTATTCCATTGATTATTCATGAATGGTTTAGAGTTTTGAAGAATTCATATCAGAGTTAGTGTCCTTTATCTTGGTTATGCCCTTATTAATGCTAAATTCTCCATATTATGAAGAATTGAAGTATTAAGTTCTGGATAATTTATTAGATTCTTTAATTTTCTCATCAATAGGTCTACCTGCCTTGACCCTTTAATCTTACTAATAAATCACTCCATCGTTAGGTGATATAAGTTCAATTGGGTTTTACATTGGTTCAATAACATCTTCAATAATTTACTTTTTCATTTTTATCGTTGCAGAAGTGTCTAAATCAGACAGGATCTTCACATTAGTTTTTGGAATTCCCTTTTTAAGGATTTTAGTCTCCGAGATATTTTTTACCTATGATCTTTAATATTCTTTAGGAAGTTTATCTATAGAAAAATTTCTGTCTACAATTATTAGCTAGCCATCTGTGGTAAAAGTAAATTTTGTCTTACCGTCCTCGAGATTATGCTATTTCGTGATCTTCTTAGATTACTCTATTGCTTTCTCACTAAGGTCCTAAATTCTTTGTTCATCTCTAAATTTTTTTCTTCTTTACCAATCAATTAATCCATCTATTTCAATATCCTAAGGGGTTTTGCTTTAAGAATCCATATTTCTTTGATAATATTCATTCAGGGTTATAAATTTGAGATCCTACCCAGTTCTTGCTGTATTAAAGCCATTAGACTTTTTAGCCTGATCACCAATGCTTTATAGCAGTCTCGTACTCCTACTTTTGTGAAAAATTCTTTGACTGTTTCTTGATAATTAGCTTTATGGTCTAGATAGATTACTGAGTTTGGAATTATTAAGCAAATCTATGATCATTTAATCTGATTAATTATCCTTTATTTCATCATTTTAGCCCCATACTTTAGAAGCATTATGTTTAATGACTGTAAGGTTTAGATTTTTAAGCTGCAACTATCTTGAAAAAGAAGTAGTAGCATCAAACTTTGAAGGCTATGGTTCAGAATCCTCAGCCCAATTTAAAAAAGCATCTTCATCTTCAAAATAAGGGGATTAGCAATAGTTGACTATTTAAGACATCAATGTTATATTCACAAATTCAGTTGTTGATTTCGTTAACAGATGCTGCCTTAAATTTGCCCTTAAAACAATTTTCGAATACTCCCTAGCTTCCCATCTATCTAAAAGTGATTCGAAGATTTAGTTTGCAAAATTAACTGAGTGTTGAGTGTCTGTTATGCTTTACACTTAATCCAAGTAAGAAATAGGAGGTACTTCTTGGCAATAAATTGGCTTATAATAATCTTCAAGCGCATTATGAATTTTTCCATCATCATTGGGGCTGTTCGCATCTCCAATCAAATTGTCTTAATTTTAACGTAATTCGTCTTCCATCGTTTAAGTATTCATAAATTTTATACTTATTTTATTTCTAAGTGCCAAATTAAAATTTGGTCCCCTGGGGTTTTGGGGTTTTGGGG